AGGCATGTGGGTGTACTTGTGGAATCGAAAGTGAACGTCTGTTCAATTGCTCAATCTATGCAGTTTTGACTAACCTGTGAAGACTGAATTGATTCAGCCTTGGGCTTTTTGACCGTCTATACTTAGCCTCTCTCTCTAGCTTTCTTCATATGAAATTATTTCTGTGGCTCTTCTTTTTGTTGCTCTTCTCTGATACTTTTATTTTTGTGCTGTAATACTTTTGTGATGGAGTCAGCAAAATAATATAACTTTTTGTCTGTAAATCCTGTAGCTCTTTACAAGGAATGCTAGTATCTACATTCTATCTTTACAGATGGGGCAAATAAAACACACAGATAAAGTGTCTCTCCCAGCATCACGCAGCAGGCCAGGGCAGATTATAGCTCATCCATTTATCTTTAAAGAGTGAATCATGAAGACAGCAGGTGCCAATAATATATAATCTGCATCTGATTCCTTGAGGTACTGCTCTGTTGTCAGGTAGAAAACTGATCAGTGAAAACAGCTTAGATTCATTTTCAAAGTGGAAGAAAATTAAAATGGGGGTATTTCAAAGATATGAACTAGGATGAGGATTACCTAATATGCTGATTAATGACCTGCACGACTGGGTGGAGCAGTCACTCAAAGTTGTAATGCTAAATTCTTTAGATTAGAAAGCATGTGAGGAAGATTCTGGTTTATATCATCTCTCTCTCTCTTTTTCATTAGACTTCTTTACTGAAACCAATGAGGAGTTAGCACTAATTAGGCAGAATAGGACATTACTCTTCAGAAGGACCTAAGAGCTGTGTGCCACATGAAAGTCCATGCAGAAAGTTGCAAGTTTATTCCCAGTGGACATGTACAGACATACAGATGGACTGCAGCTTAATTAATATTAGCCACTTGGAAAGATATTGTGAATCATTAAATGCAAATGTTATATCGACGTGAAGCTGTGGGTCAAGGAGAAAATCAAAATGTTAGCTTTGAGAGAGAATGGTATTGAAAATATGCTAATAACATTAAATGAACAGAGGGTTAGCTCACATCTTTAAATACTGCCTTCAATTTTGGTCACCCATTAGAAAAATATTATAGCAGAATAGTCAGAGAAGGGTAACAAAAATGAAGAGTAACACAATTTCCTACAAAAAGAGCTAGAAAAGATTTTCAGTTCAGATAGAAGACATGATGGAGGCATGTGAAAATGCACAATATAAATAAAAGCAGCCTGGAGTTCTTTGCCAATTATTAGAAGGCAAGGAAAAGAACACAAGATACTCAATATAATTGAACTGCTAAATATTTGAATATATACTTTTATATAACAATTAAATAATTGGATTCTCATTTAGTAACTCATATCTCACTAAGGCAAAGAGTTCAGGAGAATTTTCTTTAAAATCATATTTTTATGTACATAATAAAAATATCTAGGTGAATTTTAGTGCCCTCATATTTTTGTATAAACCAACTACTGACTACTATAGTTAGGGGGAAGTTGTTGGGTTTTTGTTTTTGTTTTTTTGGTTTTTTTTGCATAATTGTTGATTAGATTTCACACATTTCTCTATAGCATCTGGTACCAGCCATTGTTGGGAAAGGATGACTTAGCAGATGGACCACTGATCTGATCTGGCTTAACATAACAGTGGCAATTGACATTTTTTTTCTGTACGTAGGCCTAAGGGCAAAAATATGCCACTACCATTTAAGATATTGAAAAGACTGGGACTCTTCAAAAAAGTAAGGGATAAGTTGATGATGGTAAGAAAGGATAAAAGAAAGGTATATAGAATCGTTAACTTTATAGAGTAGTTAGATGTAGTACTTCTATTTTGGTCTATTCTGTTACTGAAACTGAAAGTGGTAGAATTAAAGCTAGTAGAGAAATATTTTATAACACTATATGCACACAGCCTGTGGAACTCCATGCTAGCTGATGTTGCCAAGACCAAGAACTTGTTAGGACTGAAAAATGGATTCTTTTTCTTTTACGTTGGTTTGGATAATAGAGTCATTTAGAGTTACAATAGTAAGAAATACAGTAAAAAGTTTTGGAAGGGAGTGTTTCGGGACATAAGCTTTTAACTCATGAGAATTAAGGAGAATTTCTTCCTATGGGTCATTTGTGTAAAAGACTGAGTAGACCACTGGCTTGGTCCATTTAGACCATTTCTGTTTCTGTATGTTTGATGCACTGCTACATTACTCCATTTTGGGTTGGTGTAAATCTGCCCATTTTAGTACTAAAATGGCATATATTGTACTCATGTCACTGAAAGGAATTGCATAAAATAACCCTCATTACATGGAGCCAGCTGTTAGATAAATGAAGTTAGAGGACTATGTTTTGCAGAAGTGATAGTGACCTAGTAGTTGGGATGCTTCCTTTGAGTCATGATACTGGCCAGTATTGTGCTTACTTTGGATTAGACACACAACCACAGTTCTGACCATTTGTTGAAAGATTAAAGATCCCAACCCTGCACTACCTTCTGCATGATATTTTTTTTTAAATAGTAAGGCTGCTAAACTAGATTTATGGATACACCCCAGTACAGTTAGTTACACTATTATACCTATTCAAATTCATTTCTTAATTCTCCTGCATAAGGTATTTTTTCTTCATGTTCAGTCCTGAACTGTTGTGCTGTGTTATGAGTTTTTAAACTGATGGGGGAAAATGGATTCTTGCATGAAATTTGTTAAGGTTGTAGAGCACTTGTGGGCCACGTCGGAATTCTTGGATAAAAGATGCTGTAGAAATAACAAACACATACAATTATAGATGTGTAGTTATTTAGAAACTTCCTTGAAATTATCAGAATTTTTTTCTTCCTGCAAACAATAGGTTGGAATATGTTGCTGTGTCCTATTATGCTGTTATGTATGAAACTCATTAATTTCACTGTTGCTCAAAGTTTATCCACGTAAACTGTATGAAATTTTTTAGCAATCAACTGGCTATCTTAAGGCATGATGAATGTATGTTATGATAATAATCTGATTCATGCCCTTAGGGCATAAGTGATTATTCTCTTCATTACTATTGGGATATTTAGGACTAGCTTTCATGAGTTTTACTGGTTTATATTACGCTTATCTGTAATACATTTTTATATAGTGGAGTTCAGTTTTTTAGACGCAAGACCAGTTTATTTACTTTGTACACAATTATTGGATGTACACTTGGTAAATCACAAGAAAAGAATACTAATTTTTACTATTTTCTTCTATTATAGTTGAGACTTGTCCTGTAGTTCTATAAATTATATGCGTAGCATGATATACAGTGTTTAAATGCAAATTATGCTTAAAAGAGCATCCTCAAAAATAGCAGGGATAATGTTCAGTAGTAATCTTAAATAAAATTATCCAAGTTTTCTTTTAAAATAGATGCAATCAGGCCAAAACAACATTTGATATACATTGTCACTTAGAGACCTAGCTTTGCATCGATGGCATTTTCTTTGCCTGTATCCACTTTGCCATCTTTGTAATTCAAGACCTAGGTGTCTGTGATGGGGGCTTAAGGAGGTATAACATCTGTTTCCAGTTGTTCCATTGCTGGCCAACCATTAGCCACAGGGATGTGCTCTCAGCCTCAAGCAACACAGAGAAATGCAAATATTCCATTTTATTCTCCAACAACTCTTTATGTGTACAAGAAAATATTTTAAGAGTCTGAGACTATCTTACATCATGGCTACAGAGTAAATGTAACCAGTAGAGCAATGGTTCTTAAGTTTTTTAGAGATGTTTTCTCCATAGTTTTTGTGAATTTGGCCCCAGGTGAGAGCCACTCTTTTACTCTTCCATCTCTTCCAACAACAAAGATACGGTGTTAATTTGAATATAAGATGACCCCAATAATTAGAATCTATAGCTCGAAATTGATAAATTTGTTCTAACTTTACAGGCATTCTAATTATATGAGGTTTGCCTTGAATTTGTCCCCCTCACACCACTACATCAGGGAAAATATGTCTACTGGGAAATCCCAATAGCAAATTTTGCCACAGTGCACCACAAACAGTTTAATGTAGAACATGTGTGTGTTGTGTTGCTACAAAGATGTTTGCAGTGCCACAAACAGCACATGCCTGCATGTCTGGATCTGGTCACAGAGGGCAGAGATATACTAATCATATGTGACAAGTTGAGAGAGGACCCCCCACCCTTCCATTCCATTGACCTCCCATTGTCAGTGCCCAAGGCTTATGCCTTTGTCACTTGGCTGCAGCCAGACAGGATTGTTCACCGTGCCTCTGTTGCCAGGAAGGGGTGTACTAGGCAGGCTGGGAGGGGCTGTGGCAGAGGGGTTTCTTCTGCAGCTGCTTCCTGGTCCACCCAGCACCTCAGTTAAGAACCACTGCAGGTGAGACATATATCTGATTATTCAGTTGTAGGGTTTGGGATAGTTTGGTGGAAAATGTGTGTTCAGTCCTGTGTCACACATTTTTCATTCCTCAAGTTGGTAGGCACAAAAAGTGGATTTCAGAGGCAATGAAAGGGAAGATATATGTCAAATATTATTAGTGACTCCATTGTCCAGTTCAAGAGCAGTACTAACAGATTCTAAAAATAGTCCTGTCTTACCGTCCTCGGTCAAAAGATGGTTGCATAATGCGGTAGTGAGTAAGATGTAAAACATGGGATGATTCCAGGGCTCTCTGGTTTCCAGTAAGGATGAGAAGAAGTTAAAAAGCCGAACTGTCAAATTATCACTGGTACAGGAAGTGGAACAGAGGAGCAAGGAAGGAAGATGAATAGCAAGAGGGCAGCCCAAAAGGAGCGAGGCATGGGACGGATTGGGTGACTTAGAGACATCAGGTGAAATTTAGAAGAGACTAGGGGAAAAACCCTATACTAGTGACTGGAACCCCTGTGGAAACACAGAATTAAAGTGGAAAATATTATGCAGCTGCAATACCGCGTTGCTGACATAAAATAGAAAATAGTGCATAACTGTAATACCACATTGATGACATATGTTTATCATTGCCCCATAGGTTTGAAGTTTGAAGAAATGCAAGAAAAATTTGGGGAGGAATTCTTCAATATCTGCTTTGATGAAAATGAAAGAGTTCTTCGAGCTGTAGGTGGCACCTTGCAGGACTTCTTCAATGGTTTTGATGCATTGCTGGAGCACATTAGAACTTCATTTGGAAGACAGGCCACTCTGGAATCCCCTTCTTTCCTATGCAAAGAGCTTCCTGAAGGCAATCTTATGCTCCAGTACTTTCACCCACATCATATTGTTGGATTTGCAATGATGGGGATGATAAAGGCGGCAGCAAAAAAGATTTACCATTTGGAAGTGGAAGTGGAACAAATCACTAATGATAAATTGTGCTCAGAGGGGTCAAACCCTGGCAACTGCAGCAGTCTTACTTTTCTTATCAAGGAACGTGAAAATGCAAATATCACAAAAACACTTCCACTAGGAACGTCCCAGTCCCCCTCAGACCTGAGGATAAGCATCAGCACCTTCTGCAGAGCTTTTCCCTTCCATCTGATGTTTGATCCCAACATGCTGGTGCTCCAGCTTGGGGAAGGTCTTAGGAAGCAGCTCAGATGTGATGTTCACAAAACATTGACATTCCAGGACTGCTTTGACATAGTTTCTCCAAAGATCAGTGCCACATTTGAACGAGTCCTCCTGAGATTATCAACCCCGTTTGTGATTCGGACCAAACTTGAGGCTTCTGGCTCTGAAAATAAAGATAAGGTAAGAAGCATTACATTTGAACAGGATTTGTTGGGGAAGGATTATTTATTTAATCAGTGTGAAAAAGCTCAAGGCCTATATACCATAGAAAACTCATTTAGACACTCAATACACTTAAATTCTTCAGAAGGGTGAATCTCAGCCTAGTGTGTTTATAAACTGGGTGTGTGGTGATATAGCAAATAATTGTGCTGCCATTAAGAAAATTTTCAGTTACTGAATTGTGTGAATTTTAGTAAAATTCCTAATGCTTTAGTTTGACTTAATGCCACCCATGTCCAATCCTTAATTTCACTTCCACTTTACTGCAATAACACTGATAAGTAAGTCATTGGTTGAGGAATGCCTTTTCAATGGGTTATCCAGTGTTAGGAAGGTTAGCTGCATGGTTCCCACTGACCTTATATATCCTAAATAAATATTTTGAAGGTTTAGTACTATCCATGCCTCTTTCACTTCACAAATATAGGAAATCCCTGGTAGTTAACTAGTGCTATAAATTATGGCAGTTTTGACGCAGAAAGCTCTAATGTTGTTCAATCATAAAAGAATTCCTCGCCTAAAAGGAGCATATGCTTGTCTGTGTGATGGTACAAATATTTTTAAGCTGGTTAGCCCTCTCAGTGCCTGGGGATAATAATTTGGACAGTAGGGCCATGTCCCCATGAGCATGTACATGCAGGGGTGCATGTTTCCCATGGGACAAGTACCAGTGTCACATATAAGACCACCTGAATTTGCGGTGTGTGGTGCCACAGGTGGGTCTACGGCACCACATATCACACAGCCATGCTTGTCTGGAAACGACCAAAGTGTTCAGCTTCCATTTAGGCCAGATTTTCTATTCTGGGCCAAATTTTCAGAAGAACTCCGAAGCTAAGTGAATGTCGAGGGTGCAGTTCTCTTGGAAATCTGACCATAGTAATATCTCCAGGTCCCTCTTTGGTGCTGCTCTGTTTGTGACCTATAAACAAGTTTTCATTGCAGCGTTCTCTCAACTTCGTGTTTTCTAATGTTCTCAGGTTCCCAGTGTATACGAGTTGACCTACTTCAATATATATAAAACCAAAACCAAAGGGAATTTATTTTGCAGAACTTTTCTTGAAACTCGCTCATGCCATAGTTATAGTGAATGTAATTTTGTTTAAGGCAGTCAGTGATTTTAGCTCTGAGCTCTTACTCTAGGGCACAGTCATGGCTGCTTTTGAATCAGCCTAATGGCAGGTTCTCTTCCCCATGGAGTATGTCTGCCTCTCTCTCCTAGACAGCTTGTTCTGTCACGGAGCAGAATTGCAACCCATAGAGATTTTTTTTTTTTTTTTTTAATTTACTTTCAACCTTGTTGAAAATCATTCCTGAGGAGGATAAGGCATTTTTCCTTATGGTTGTTTTTTTTCTGGCTAGTTTTAAGGGGAAAAAAAGATTAACCAGTATCTTTCTTGATCAGATTTAGGAAATGTTGTGTTCCCTCTTCATTATTTATAAATTACCTTTATGGCATTCTGCCTTTTGGAGTCTGAAGGCTTTATTTCCATTTGCGTTAAGGTTTCCTTACACTACTCTGGTAGTAAAAAGTAGTTTTGATGTGGACATAGTTCTATACACTTTAAGGCCTTTTTACTTTGCTACTGTAGCATGAAAGGATCTTAATATAAATGAGAATTCGGGCTGGAGCTTTCACTGTCACACAAAGGTAAAATGTCCATGGACTTTGAATGAGATTTTTCTGTGTGCACAAGTTCAGTAGTCATAACTCAAGAGTATCTGTCCTTTGGGGAAGCAATAAGTGTTGTCAGGATGCCAGAAGTTATTGGAATCCTAATATTACAGAAATACAATGTTATAACCACAAGTACACAAAAAAAGAAGATTCTTAATTAGACACTTATCTGTCAGAACCATTATTCTAATTCTTAGGTTTTTTTTCAGAGTTTCTCCCAAGTAAAGAAAAGTGTTTTGGAGTTGCTTTTTGGCAGTTTGAAATCGTTACTCTTCGTGGCCATTTAAATATAAGATGGGAATTAATTATGAGACAGATCCTAAATACCCACAATTTTTTAAATTTTAGCTATATATGTATTGCCCTTTTCTTGTGTGTATAATTGCCATTTTTAACACTGCTTTTTGCAATACACAATTAGGATTGATTATTCACTCGCCTATTAAAGGCAGGTCTGATACTGCAACATCATATTAAGGCTATTTGGTACTACTCAGTCTAAGACTGTGTTTTAAATTGCTTATAACTTTGCTTAGGATGAAATTTTCTGTGTCAGGTGTCTGCCTCAGATTGATTTCTTTTTTTGTTTTGTTTTGTTTTTTTGAAGAGGGGCACTTCAAACAAAATTTATTATCTGTTTGTGAGAACAGGTCAAGGGAAAATTCTGATGTCTTGCTAAGTTTAAAAAAAAATGTAGTAATATTTTTTTGGAAGTCTCTTACTATCCCACACTTTGAAATTTGGTGGTGGTTGATCAAGAATGTACTTTTTGAAACTCTTTTGGAAATCCATTCATATTTCATAGATTCATAGATGCTAGGGTCGGAAGGGACCTCAATAGATGATCGAGTCC